GCTGAGAATGTGGCCTGTACTCTAGAATAGTCTATGGGACAAACAGTGAGGTCGAATGGCTCTCAAAGGACAGAGATTTAACTGGATCATATTTTTTTTTAAAGATTTTATTTATTTATTTGACAGAGAGAGACACAGCGAGAGAGGGACCACAAGCAGGGGGAGTGGGAGAGGGAGAAGCAGGCTTCCCGCTGAGCCGGGAGCCCGATGTGGGACTCGGTCCCAGGACCCTGGGATCATGACCTGAGCCGAAGGCAGACGCTTAACGACTGAGCCACCCAGGCGCCCCCTGGATCATATTTTATTGAGGAGAAGGAACCTGGACACAGGCAATTTCACCTCTTTCCCAGGTGAACAGAGCATATAAAAGGTAATGTGTGGCCTCACTTGAGAGCGCTGTGGGAGAAGCTAGAGAGAGTGTGAGCTCTAGGCCAAAGATGAAGAGGGAACATTTTTCTTTAACAGACTGAAGTTACAGGGGCATTTTTAGAGAATTTTGGAGAATGTTAACATAATGCTTAGCAAGAATACTGAAATGTCCTGCATGGTGATGTTAAGTTTTCATAGAGAACAAATTCTTTGTGCATCATAGAACCTCAGCCTCTACTGGCTAAAACAAGTCAGGCATGGCTTGGAATCTTCATGTTTCTGAGAGTATTCTGGCCCTGCTGGACAGGCAGGGAGAATTATCAGTTTCCAAAACCATATATACTATTGTGCTTGTGCCAATTACAATTTTTACTACTTGCTAAGATTGTTTTCCAAGCTATTTGAAATTTATCAAGATACTTTATAGTTATTCTTGGGTTGTAATAATTTTCAACAAAGGGAAGCAATGAACAGAATAACCCAAGAAGCAGGTACAGTTAGTTTTGGAGAATTTATATGACTTTGATCCTTTTATTAGTTGATCATCAAACTTAATTGTGTTCCTTTAATAAACACTTTTGGATGAATACTATGTGTTTAGTGAAAGTGGAGTGTCAGAAGTTTGACAAAGTTGATTCAAAAAAACTAATAATGTACGTACATAGTATTATATGCAAACTGCAAAACTGTATTTTTTTCTAAGCAGTTGTATGTCTATTAAAATGAGCCTATCTGCAGAAAGTACACGTAAAAAATACTTTAAAAATTAACTAGAAATCCTGTCAAATATATTTATTTTATCCAGTCAAATATATTTTTACTACTTTGACGTACATGTGGTAACTCCAATAAGCTGCAGGCAAATAAATACAGATGTTTAGAGGATTAATTTTCATAGGCAAAATGCTCCTACATTTATTATACTAAATGTACACGTGTGGGTCCTTCTGGAGTGCTGTAAAGACACCCATTCTCTCTATATGTGTATTAAGTACAAGTTTATCATTCTAATGATGCTATTCCTTCCTACAAATGGAAAGAATCAAAGCCTACTTACACTCACAATATCACAAATGTTAAATGTGGGTGCTGAACTAATGATGTCTGCTGCTCAATTACAAAGAGTACAACATTCTTTCCACAGAATAAATCTCCCTTTGCACAGCTGAGGGGTTGTTGGACTGCATGAGAGTCCTCAAGCCATCCTGTAGAAGAAATCCAGGGACAGATTTCCTGAAGACGACTGGGAATTGGCCAGTCTGTCACAGCTGATGTGTATTATTTACATCATAGTACCTGGGAAGAAAGTTGTTCTTCACAATAACTTCTAAGCCTTATTCTGCTATTTTCCTTTCTTATTAAAAACAAAAAGTATATAATTTCTCCACCAATAAAATTGTTCCAAGTGCATACATTTAACGCAGAGTTCAAAAGATCGATAGATTTTTTTTTTAATTATCACAGAAGAGCAATGTAAGGATGAGAAAGCGTGATAATTTAAATAGTAAAAAAAATTCTAGTTAAAAATGAATACTGCACCAGCCATAATGTCTAATGGCTCTACATGGACTATCATCTCTAATTTTGAAAAATCCTTAGATCCAGAGGCTAAAACTGAGGCTTACATAGCTTAAGTAACTTGCATGGGGTCATCGAGGTTATTAGTTTTGGAGCCAGACTCCTATCCTGATACTCTACTTTCAACTTTCTAACTGCCTCTATACTATATTTTATTAGTTTATCTAGCATAGAGTAAGAAGCAAACATTTAAGGAAGTGATGTATTTAGATTAACATGCAGAAAGGAGAAGAGGACACATACTTTGGACCCCTTCTATGTGCCTGACACCATGTTAAATATAAGAAGTTATCTCATTTATCTTCCTACTCATATTTGGTAAAGCCCTTATGAGAATATAAGTTCTGAGATTTGTTTGGAGTCAGGCAACTGAAGGATGAAAAATAAATAAGAGTGATTAAAGATTTGGGAAGTAATCCTTCTAATAATAGAATAAAGCATGAAGTCTTACTTGTTTAGAGACGAGAACATTAAGGAGAAAATTAGTATTTAAGAGTGTCTAGATATCTATAAAGGCATTTATAAATGCATGCGAATAGGGTTTTGTTGTTACCTCAGGCCAATATAAATAGGAACAAGGCTAGATTGTATGAGGAGCGATTATACTACTCATGAGGAGAAACTAGCTAAGGAGAATTAGTAACGAGCTAATATTTATTGAGCGCCTACTATCTACTAGAAGACCAGAGGACTAGGAGCAGAGATAGAGATAAACAAGTTATTTTAGGAAAGAACTTACATCAATTCTCATTCCATTCTGCTCCAGTGTTTTCCGAAGGAAATAAATATAAATTTATAAATATATGTGTATATAAAGCTAGTCCTGCGTTCCAATCTGTGAGTTATGTGGAGTTGTCCCTATTTTTAAAGGGGAATCTGAAACTCAGAAAGTTTACAAAGTCTTCCCAATTTCACACAACAATTAAGTATGAGTCAAGAGAGGCAGTCGAACTCTCAGAGGGAGGGGGAAAAGACACAAAATCGAGAGTTAGAAAATCTGAGTTCTGGTATGGACCTGGTCACTTTCCATCATGTGATTGTGAGAAAAATAATTCCACAAACTTCTAGTGCTTTATTTTTAAAATAAAAATAAGAGCACACACAAAGATTACTGGGAAGATTATATGAGCATGGTTTCAGTGGAAGTATTTTCAATCAATATGAAGATAGTAGCTCTTTAAATGATTTAGGAGAGTATGGACTTCCTTCTTGCCATATGGTTGAAGCTTAAATGAAAGGAATCTAAGTGCTCATTTTTTAGTCAGTAATGTTTTGATAGAAACTTTTAAAACTTGCTTCTGCCCACCTGTCTGGGTTTGAATGCTTCTCGTCTTCAAATTCACATGTGATATGTTAATCTTGCCATTTCCTATTTCTCTCATAGTCCATGCTTTGCATTAATTTTGAGAGATTTTAGTTATCCAATGAGAAAAGAAATAGTAGTTATCACATCATACTTCTTTGAGTTACCACCTATCCAGTATTCTCTGGGGATACTAAAAAGATGGCCATTGTGATATCCAGGTATCTGTCAGGTCTTTATAAAAAGAACCAACTGAAAAAAAAAAATGAACAATGCAAACTACTTACAATGTCAGAGACGTACAGAGTGGATTTTAGGGCTAAAGCGTTTAATATTTCTTGTAGCTCTCTATAAGTTACTCATTTATCATATTGAAATTAGAATTGTTCTTGTAACTCCCATTATGGGAAATCCCTAGGAATTTGTAAGCTGCACATAGACCCAATAATCAGATTAATCTAATCACCAGTCACAGGAAAAAAAATGCTTAAGTCATAAATAGCAAGAGAATCCATTGATTGTAAATAAAGTAGAAGGGAGACATTACAGAGCAATTTCACCCAAGCAAGATAATTAAACTCAGAGATACTGTTTCCTCTTTCTCTGGTATAAACAACAAAGCTGCTCCACTGGCCTCCCCACAACCTGGATGTCCCAAGGCCACATCCCTCTTCTTTCCTTCCCCTTTCCCTAAGGAGAATTCTGGGTCATAAAGGAATGAGAATTGGTGTAACTTCTTTCCTGAAAGGACTTGAGCTTCCTCTGTGTTGATATTTGTGTCATCTTATTATAAGACGAGCTAACATCTATTATTAATTGATGCACTAATTAAAGCCATACTTGCAGTTTCCATTAGCTTATTCCCTAAATTCTCCAGAGTTGGCTGTCTGGTTTTAATCAAAACCAAATGGTAGTCCAAGTTCCCAGCCTGGAGCAGCTAGGAGGAAGTCATTCAGTGGAGGCACAAGAAAGCAGAAAAGATAAACAGATGATAGTTCACAAAATTTGTGTCGGACAAAGGAGGCAGATACCGTGAGCTGCTTTGGAGATGTGATTCAGGGACTCTGTCATGCTGGATGGAAGAAGTTGCAAGTGGTTAATGTCAGCAAGACTGTAATAGGATCAAGATGGAGTCTGTCTTCAGCTTTCCCCGCACTGCGTTTGTGTGCCTGGAGGATTCTGACTGGAGGTAACGCTGCAAGTGCCATAACAGGAACTGCTTTAATTCCCTGAAGGAGTCCTGGGATGGGAGAGATTGGAAGACCATGTTCTATTTACTGGCTTCTTGGGATTTTACTCACAGATCCTCTCAGGTACAGGATGTAGGGGGGCAGCATTTTAAATTGTAAGTAGTGTAAAAACAGCAACAACAAAAAAAGTTTTCCTATTTAGGGGATGACAGTTTTAAAACTCTGAATTGATCTTGCTCTCATGAGAGATCTTTTGCAAGGAGAACGGCAAAGGTATTTTGAAGAAGTTGTGCATATACATTTAATATAGTGGGAAAGCTGTAGAGGAGAGAGAAAACTGTTTTCCTTCCTTGCTTTTCTTTTCTTTTCTTTTTTAATTCACCAGCAGTGTGGGATAGAGAAAGCTCTACGACTTTATGACTCTCCAGCTAATCACCTCAAGAGCTTTGACAAACTCACTTCAGTTCTGTGTAAAATCAGAACTCCTACATCGCCCAGGCGGGCTCTGCTCTGCCCCCCTCCCTCTGCTTCGTGCACTCTTTCTCACATGCACTCCTCAGAGGCAGGAAATGCTTCCCAGGCAATCTGGGCCTGCTTGTGGAGGCCCCTTTCGCAAGACATCAGTCTGAATTGAGTGGACAGAAGTCACTAAGAACGCCTCGACAGACTCCTGCTTTAGCCAAGGCTCCCTCCAGCTGCAGAGGGTGTTTTTGTGAGAATCACACTCTGCGTGAAACTGCTTAGAATAGAGCCATGATCTCAACCACGAAATGTGAACTTATATTTTGGAGGAACTCACGGGGACGGACTTCTTTCCTAGCCTGAGTGTTGAACAATGTCATGCCTGGGCGTTTCAGCTGCTCGTTGTCTAGGTAAGACGCTGTGGACTCTCTGTCTTTATATTTTGAGGCGGTCTTTGAAGAGGCAGAAAGTTTGACAGAAATGTTAGCATCATGCCCAGAGTGGTGGTTTCCTACGTTTGGGAGCTAAGCTATGAAATTGAGAAGTGGAAAATGTTTAGGGAGGAGAAAACTGCGAGTCAAATTGTTTTAGCACAATGTCAATTCTAAAATAGGCTCCAGAGAGATTTTCTCTTTTCCTCCATAAACTAAGATTTTATTTTAATCCCTTTTTATCTTAACTTTTTTATGAATAAGACCAGGTTTCCTATTCCATGGCATAGTACAAAACAAATACATATTCTCACACTTAAGTGTGAGGTGTAAATGATTTCTTTTGATCTCCCCTTCCTTTGCTAACAGGGAGGGTAGATAACACCAGAGTGACTTTTCTTAATAATGAATCTCCAAAGAATATTCTATGTGTCACGTAGAGTATGAAGATTGGACTCCTCTGTATTTCCCCAAACCAGTTTCAACCACAGTGCAGGCTGCTAATGTACAACTTAAAGGTTTCATTAAAAAAAAAGGTAAACACATGAAACTTTAAAAATTATTTCTATCCTAAATAGTATTTAATCTGACTCTCAAAAATTTAAATATTAGAATTGGATTTAGTTTGTATTAACTTTCCTGGATTCCCTGCTCAGGTCATATTTATGTGAACATTTTTGAAGAATTGAAGTCAATCTCAATGACAGCGACATTCATTATTATTATTTTAAGGCAGCTGGAAATCACTGCAATCACATGAAAAACCAATCATGTATTCATAATTCATACAATCATAAAATTAGGTTTCCACAGGGCTATAATCTCTTTAAGGTATCTTAAATGTCTAAACGTGCAATATATGAAGAAAGAAATCTAGCAATGACTGAAATAAAATGGACTTATAATGCATAACATCCTGTTGCATTTATATTTCTGAAGACTTAAAAATGAAAATAATTATTTTATAGAAATGATGTGGAATGGTATGTGGAGGGAATAGATATTCATGTATATTTCCAAATCAATTAGATGAACACAAAATACAATAAATGAAAGATGAAAGTTGTTTGACAGTTGGATCATAAGAAATCAAGTGTTTTAATTCTAAACTTTTACACAGTACAAGGTGACCATTTGTTGTACTAGCTAGCTTACTATTAGATTCTATGCTAGAATAAGTTATCTTGATAATATTTTAACTGTTCACTAACAATTTGTGTTAAAACTTTTAAATATGATTTAAAAAACTATTGTTCAGCATGTGAAAAATAAAATACTGACTTATCTGAATTATGATTTAATAAAATCCCTGAAAAGAGTTTCAAGGAAGGAAAGAACATAAGAGATCAATTCTTCAAACACCGTCCTGAGGTTGCCACAGAGGGCTGAGGAATGATATTCAAAAATGACCTGTCCAAGGTCACACTGCTAGCTAGTAGAAGAGATGACAGTGGAACGCCACTTCATAATTCAGAGATCTTTATACTACATCAGCTTGCTCTCAGATAATAATTATGCAGAATGAAGTATGAATATATCCAGTAGAGGGCTACTTTCAGTCATATAATTGTAGTACCTCTTTAAAAAATAAGAAAGGCTCAAAGCTGCCATGCGTGTACAATATGGGGGAAAAAAAGTCATGATTTTAAAAAAAGAACCAAATTCACCTAAATAATGAAGTATTCTCAAATGTAAAAGTTTTCTTACGCCTTCAACAAACACTTCAATGGAGTAACTCATTGGTGACTGTTTTGTTATATTTTATGTTTATGCCAAGAAAATCGATCCATGTGCTAATAATTATATTGATTTTAAACTGATGTTTCTTAAAAATGTAGGGCTAGAAAGGAGTTTGTCTGATTGATATCCTCGTATTCAAATGGTATCATAACCAATCTGTCCCAACCAGTAAAGTTCAGAGATTTTACTACCTCACATCAGAATCGGTTTAAGGGTCTCATGTACCCTGACATTCCTTCTTTTATCTAACCTACAGCTCTATTGCTATAGCCTATTTCCAGTTTCATGGGTTTTTCCTCAGTGGAAATATGGAAAACCTAAATGGACATAAGAAAACATAAGTGTACATTTGTGGGCCAAATAAAGTCAGTTCCTTTCATCTTCCCTTGTACAGCTTATTTCCAATCCTTTAATTGGTTCATATATCTACTCTGAGCCTTCTACAAAGTCCTTTAGTTGTAGAATATAGAATTTCTTACAGTATGTAAATAAATGTCTGACCAGCGCAGTGTAAAATGAGAGAGTTGGCTGCTTAAGCTGTATCATACTTCATGTATGACAGTGTATGTTGCCATGCATGTTGAACACTGCCCTTTCCAAGGCAAGAACCTTTCTCATAAAACTAATATATGTCATTTCTACTGCACGCCATTTCTTAGACAGAATGTGTGTCATGATCCTTTTTTTCCCCATTTTTATGAACCAGATTGAATTCCCTGATGTTATTACACTTAAAAGATGCACTATTCAACACTTTCTGTGTCTCCATCCTGTACATTATTGGAATGAGGAATCAATGCAGGAAAACAGTAGCCTATATAACTGACTGCATGGTTACCAGAGAGCCCAGCAAAAGAGAATGCATCATTTTATTTTTTTCTTAAGGATCTTATCATTTAAAAGGAGGATTTTCTGATCACACTTAAACCTGCCCATACCATACACCTCACTATAAAGACTATAGGCATGCTTTAATCTCACTCACAGAGGATTGGGTCTTGTAGGCTTTAAATAAGTCTACATTTGGGACATTTTAAATTAATCCTTTGTTTTGATCTTGTTTCTTCTTGGAGAATGAATGAATTACTGTATGATCTTACAATAAGAATCTTTCTGTAGAAATCATTACAGAACAACAAATTTCCAAAGAGTTGGCCTAGATCTGGATCAGAGAATTTTATGATGAAAATAGAGAAATGTCAGTAATTGTACATATGAATTTAAAGAGGATGAGAGAAAAGTAAAAACCCCCAGATTTGAAGGAATTGGTATGACTGTTGTACCTTATTCCCCCGTGTGAATGATAACCCCTTATGTCCACAACTTAAACCAAACAAGTTTGGAAAGAAGTCCAACTCCAGATTGACTTTGGTGTGGATATAGGGATGCAACATTTACTTCCATGGTTCTATTTTGGCATTAAATTGCTAGTCATTCATAGAGTCTTGAAAAATAGATGGACTTAGTTTTTAATGAAATTAAACAGAATAAAGGTGAAGTGTGGACCTCGAGGCCTAGTTAAAAAGAGATTGTTGATTTTGATTCAGTAGATTAGAGAGTATGTAAGTCCACTTGAGAAGATTAAATAAGGATTCCCATGCAAAAAAAGTGGGAAGGCAATGTAAACCGTGTGCATATGAATGTGCTCACTAATTAAGATAGATAGGTAGAAAAAATTACTGTGCAAATTATATGTGTAAAAAGTTGTTTTGTATTAGATTGGATTAGCAAAGTGTTTCAGCAATGCAATTCAAATAATTCAAAGAGAAAATCAGCCCTATAATGGAAATGAGATAGAAAGGAAGTAGGAAGATCAGAGCAGGTTTAGAAATTCAATTAATGTTTCTTTTGATTCTCAGCAACTAACATAGCCTAGCATGTCAGATGCTATCCATACCTGTTTGTCAATAAATGTTTGCGGAATAAATCGGAGGGAAAGAGGAAAGAAAGGAAAGGAAAACTGATGATAAAGAGTGGGCAGTGTGGATCTTTTTTTTTTTTTTTAATTTCCAGACATCCTGTGATGATAGAATAATTTTTACAGGGGAAAGAAAATAAGAGGTTGTCAAGAATCATCAGAGCCTGAGGCCAAAGGTTAACAACATTCTCATAAGATAACATTACAAATTCATTAAAAGCCAGAAGGAGGCATGAGCATCCAGAAATAGTTTAAAATTAAAAGTTACGTGAAGCCAGTGACAGCAGAGCACTAGAGAATTTTCCACAATTTAAATGGGCTGGTGAACTGAAAAGCTCATGGGCAGAGTCCGAAAGCTGGCTCTGATCTGCATCTTCACCAGTTGATGTTCCGTCATTTGAAGCACACCCCATAACTACTTTGAGCTTCTGCTTTTTATTGGTAAAGTGAGGAAGATAATGAAAACAATTATATCACTGGGTCATTTTGAGCATCACATGAGATTTTATATGGGCAAATTGTTTTGCACACAGTATAACAAACAAATCTTTGTTTAAAAAAGCATAGGTCAATTAGTCAAGGAAGGAAGAAAGACTCATGATGTTTCACATTTTGGTCAAATCGCTCATCTATATTGAAACAACATGGGCATGCAAGGAATAGTTGCAGCTCATACTCAGCCATGGGTTCTGTGGCTGAAATCAATCAAAAACTAAAGGAATCATCGTTGTCAGCAGCAGCAGCATCGTGTCCCTGAACATCTAGTGAATTCTCACAATATGCAATGGATTAAATGCGCTACGTGTATCACCAGCTTACTATTATTATTTTAGCTAAATACTATTATTTTCCCCTCAACAACGTTTCATTATTCCCATTATAGAGGTGAGAAAACTGAGGAACACAAAATTAGGTAACTAATCCAAATCACCAGGAAAAAAATAATGGTTCTTTAACAGGCATCTTACCTTCACAAAAAAAAAAATGGAGATAATTACTTTGGCCCACCAGTAGGTATTTGACCTTGAGCTAGTTACTAAGTCCTGCCAAAATTCCTCCCTATAAAATTAAGGCAATGATAGCAACTACTCCATGGAGTATTTGTGAGTACTATTACCAAGGGAGATAGTGTAAGTACAGTACCTTACCCACAGTAAATGCTTAGTAAATGGAAGTCCTTTGTTACTGTTACTGTTATCATGATCCAGATTTTCAATGTGCCTACTGTTAGTTGGGTATGTAGAGGAACACTTGGTAATAAAAACAAGCTCAACTGTACGTAGGTTGATGACAAAATAAGATGAGAATTATAGATATTAAG